CTATATGTTACTTAGTAATTCTACCATAATACGGTTTTTGAAAAATGGTAGAATTCAATTTCACCACATGTATAGTCTATACTTAGAGGCTTAGGCTGCAGATAAGTATATAGGATTCAATAGAACTGTCCCTGCACTCCGGAGAGACACTGGGAGGCTAAGAAGTCGGTTGAAAAATCCTGCATTGACTGCTTGAGAAAAAAAAAATTATTTTAATTTTTAAAATTTTGAGATAAATTAATTTTTATTTGATTTATTTATATTTAAAATTTTGAATCAATATTAAAATAATATTAAGTTATAATAAATTTAAAATATAAATTATAATTTACTTTATAATTAAGAAGCTAATTATAGTTACTATTTATAATTTGCAATTTATATAATAAGTAACTACTTAAGTTATTTTTTTTTGTTTACCTGCAGTCAACTTAAGATCTCTTATTGTCTTCTTAATCTCTCAGTATTTCTTCAAGGTACATGAACAATTTTTATAGATCCTAAATACTTATTTTAAACTTAAGCCTTTAAGTATAAACATTGGAGATGTATAAGTTGTTATATCAAGACAAACAAACCTATGCTATCTGCCTTAATAATCATTGTCTGCAACCATTACTATAGTTTTTCAACCATTTAATTTAGCCAAAACTTATTAGAATTTAGTCAATGAGATATTATTGGAGGATGAGAGTATATCAATATATCAAATTTGTCTGAAAATCGAATCCAGTCTTACCTTACCTAATCTGATTTAGCAATATATACAGAGTTATGTTTTATAGGGTCATATAGTCAACTGTCACAAGTATACCCCTTAGGATAGAACACCTTGTGATACAAACAACTTTCTGCATTTTTAACTGGATTCTTGTTATCATTGAACATATGAAACTTTTATTAATAATTGTATAATTAATGTTTTAGCTATTTGTATCTTTTTTTCTGTTACTGAAAAGATTCTATGAAACTTCTTTTTTCTTTTAAAGGTATTTTCCAGACAATATTTGATAAGAAAGTTTATCAATTAAATCATTTATCTTTTTGATCTATAGGACATAGTTTATTTATAAGGCTCTTTAATTATTGGAACAATCCAAATAGTTTTCTATTATGAGTTATAGGAGCAGTAACATAAAATTCCAATTTAAAATATATGAATTGTTTTCAGCTAAAGTTGAATTATAGTTTATAGACTAGCTCTATTCTGCTTTAGCTCACTGGACTATAACCAGATCAGTCTAGTAACTATTTAAATTATTTAATTTTTACAAAAATATTAGTTTTTTATTAATTATTTTTCAAAAGATCTGATATATTAAAAATTCAAAATCAATTGAAATAAACAAAATTTTCAAGAAAATTTTTTTTAAAAAAATATATTTAAGAAAAAATTACAATTAAATAAAAAATATAAAGATTAAGAATTATTTTTTCTTTGAATTTTTGAATTTCTTAAAAGTTTTTAAAATATATATATTTATTTATTGATTTTCTTTTTATAAATATGTTCTTGCTATAGATTTTTCGGATAGCTTTCTTATATTTAATAAAAAAAAATAAGTAAGAAAAATATTTTTTGACAAACAAAAGTATATATTTATTTATTCGTTGATTGTTTAATTTTTTGAAAAAAAAAAAAACTTTTTTCGTACACTTTAAATTATAACTTATTAAATGCAACGAAAACTCTCGAGTACGGCATTACTTAGTATTTCCATTTGATTTTGCAAATATTTTGAATTTATTATAAAAATAAAATATTAATCATTACAATTACAAAATGCAATAAGTACAGTATTAATTATACACGATGATTTTAAGAACCTTCATAACAATCCTTTCCGCGGATCAAAGTTTTTAAATTTTTCAATCTTCGAGTGGTTCCTTCATTCTTTTCCTCTACTTTTCCGACCAAATCTTCAATCAGATTATCCTCTAGGTGCCGACAATTACAAAATTCCAGCACTTCCAATTTCTCACACTCCAATATATCCTTTTGTGAATAACAATTTTTGAAATTTACATAATCGAATTTTAAATGTTTCAATGTTTTTCTTTGAGAAGTGAGGGACTTGATAATAAGACAAATATCCCAGCATGAGATAAAGACGGTCAAAGATTTGAGTTTGTTTTGAGATAGAATCCACGAAGAAGCCGAAATCGAATTGTTGAACGATGGCCGAATACCGTACGACAAGGAGCAGTAACTATGGAGGCCAATACTAATTTTTTTCTTCGAATTTTAATTTATTAAAGAGAATAGTATTACCACACAAGCTTTTAAATATCGAAGGCTTCTTTCGACAATAACCAATTTATGACACGTATACGTACCACGTTTCTACAACGGTTACTTAATCCATTAAAGAATCTCTCCATGCTAAAATGAGTATGGATTGTAATTTGTCTGATGGGGGTTAGCATTTCCCTAAAATCTTCCTCAAATAATAATAAAAAGTAATCTTCCTCGTAAATGTTCTTTCCTTCCGTTTGTATCGTTAAGGTGTTCAAATGGAGGGAATTATCACAAAATAAATGTAAAAGAGATTTAACAATTAAAGAGATATTTTCTTCTGAATTTCCATTTTGTTCTAAA